CTCACATTCCTACAAGAACCAACAAAAACAAACTTTGTGAACACATTTCATACTCCCTAACTAACCCGAAACACGACTAAGCCATCCCTAAAACTCCCTCATTCATCAAAACACAGTTTTGTGGCAAAACAGGGTACCTTCTGCATTTTGACTTGGCCAGTTCATTTCCCTCGTACGTTTTCATCCAAACCAGTTCAAACACATCCTATATCATCCATACAAACTATCCCAAGCCCTAGCTGCAGACTGTAACACCTCTAACCAAGTTCACCATTTTCATTTTTTCAGTTGTGCAGGTTGAGTTACATAGCTCCTTTCAGTTAGTTTCAAAGCAAGCTAGAGGTTGGAGAAGCATCCCTGAACTTCAAGCAAGCTGTACAAGTCCTCACACTGCATTGAAAATGCCTCCATTGCTGTACACAATTCAAGCTGAACAGGTAAAAGTTTGGACTTTTATCTCTCAATCTAGGAAGAGTTAGGCTTAGGTTTATGAATGAAACATGTTCTACTCATGGCCTTGAAGCTACCCATATAATTACTTTTCATTTATATTGTGTGTGCTAAGAGAATTTTGAACCTGAACATTAGAAAAAAGTTAGGTCAGGAATTGGGGGAGAAGAAATTCTCTCTCATTTCTGAGAGTTAGAACAACTTCTTTATATGTTTAGAATCGTGACATGATGCTCTATAACTTTGATGTTGTGAGTTTTTGTTAAAAATCAAGGAATCGGAAGTTAGCAGGTTGAGAAAGAAACGCGCGTTTTCTTTGTTTCAAAGTTGCTGGAGGTTGAAGACAACTCCTTTTGGGCTGGGCTTGGTTCTTTTTTCTGTTTGCACCACTTTATTTCACTTACACCCCCCTTGGCCCATTATGTTATATTTTAATTGTTTTTGACTTTTTATTTTTTCTTCTGACTTGATATTTTTGTCAAAACATAAAAAATCATAAAAAATATTTTTTCACATTTATTTTTTATTTTTTTACATTTATTTGCTTTAGTTAAACATAAACATGTATATATATATATATATATATATATATATATATATATATATATATATATTTATATATATATATATATATTATTATATTATAGTCTAT